AACGCTTGCTGCGCCTACTACATTAGCATGGGTTTCGCTGTTCAACACAATTGACTAACCTGTGCACGTTTGCCGTCCTGACCATCAGCAGCCTCTTTGAGGATAGCGCAAGCAATGAGAATCGGATCGACTCTGACTAAGTTCGAAAGATCATGCTCAGTAAAGTCTGGAGCCGCATCTTTGAGGAGACCTATAGCAGCAAGCTCGGGGTCAGGTGATGGCTGAACGAAAAGAAGGCAAATTACGGCCGCGAGATTTTTGGATGGTTGCAACCAAAGATCTTGTACACCGGCGGTGGGACCACGTGCTTGAGCTATCCGCAGGAGCACATCTCTTCGGCGCGTCAGTATCAGATATGGGATCGTATCGCTCTGAGTGAGCAGTAGGAAATCACCAACACTAATGCCCAGCAGCTCAGACAATTGTTGGACTCGTTGCGGCCGCGAGATGAGGTCTTTGACAACGTGCAAGGCAACACTTGACCAAAATGGTCTGAACAGTTCCATAGGTGTCCGGTCCAAATCCTCGGCGAGCTTGAGAATCTCATGGTAGGCGGCACCAGAGATGACCGGGTGAGTGTGACCTAGAAAGTCGACTAGTTGTATCAGAGCGAGATTTAATTCCTCCTGTCCGCAGTGTTTCCCGATCAAGCTCCAGGCCACGACCAACGACTCTTGCTCGGAAACATTATTTCTGTCGGTGAGACATCTCAGAAAGTCGAGAATCTCGCGACGATTTTTGGTACGTATATCTTCATGGATCTCCTCGCGAAGATATGCCATCAGTGAGTGGCTGTGTTCACAGATTAGCTTGGTATGCGTGTACACTGGTCAACCTACGCTGAAGCAATTCTGAGCTCCCTTGCAGAGCTTTGCAAAGACCGCATCAGCCAAGGGCCAAAGATACCGGAGCCTACGGACAATATCTCTCTGTCGGCGGTGTGGTTGACTATTCGGCGAATGGCATGTGCAGCTGATACTCGCGCTTTTTTTGACCTTCGAAGTTCTGCGCTCTGCAGTAGTGATGAAAGAGTCTCTATCACTCCTTGATAATCGTCAGGTACTGCTCTGTCCCAAGTAGTGCCGGTCGAAGAGGCAGAAGATATCCCGCCATCTCGGTCGCAGATAGCGCAACTATCCAAGATCTGTGGCGAAGGGGACATTAAGAGGCAACCAGATGCTGCACATGGCAGTGCACCCAGCCTAGCGAGAGCTTGGTCTTTCTCTTCCAGGCTCAGTGAATCAAAGCGGTCACTATTGTGGATTAGACAATTCGACTTGCATCCATCATTCTAGCTGTGAACTCACAGTGCGGTCTCACTCATGTCTAAAACAACATCTCGAGCTTCCTGGGCCAATTGCAAGGTGACCGCTTTCAGAATACCACTATATGCCACTTCCCAGGAGTCTTCTTCATGATTATCTTGGATTCTTTGGCGTTTTGAAGGACGAACTTGTCCAGTCTCATTTGCTCGTTCTCTTGCATAGAAGAACCTGTAAATAATATTTAAGAGTTGCTTTTCAAAAGTAAGCATTTACATAGTTGACAGCTTGTAGGAAGAACTGACCTGGAAGTCGTCCTGTTCGATGTCTATGCCTTCAGCTCTGCGCGTGCTCAGTAGTGGCATAAGCCGACGTTTGCAAGCATCTAAGACTTTTGGATGCTGATCTTCACGAAGAAGATAGTGTATTTTATCATCCAGAACACTGCGCATCGCCGTTCCTCCATATTGCTTGAAGGTCCATAAAACTTCAACGACTAGGTCAAGAAAAGGCCCGATTTGACTGGGAAGGTTATTGATTGGATATGCTTCGAAGATGCTCACAACAAGAATGGGGAAAATGCGGTCTGTATCTTGTGAAGGCTTGTCGAAATAACACCTGGATGTTCTCAAAAGCCTGTGACAGAGATCGAGTGTCCATCGGCTGACAATCATGTGCATGGAATCGGGACAACCTGCGAGATCAAAGCGGGAAGAGCATTGGCTAAGTACAGAAAGTAAAGCCAAAGCAATGACATGCGCCTGGGATGCATCGGTGACCCGATTTTGATATCCTTGAGGCACGACAAGGACTTCAAGAGCTTTCGGCCAAAGTACCGACATACTTCTCGACGACGGCAGTTGAATGCTAAATCTTGAAGATGAATTTCGATCAAGTAAAATATGGGTCTCGAGAGCCGACACGATATCTGCATGAATTTAGCCTGCAACTCCACTTTCGAGGCCTCGTCGAGCTCACCCTCAACTACTGACGTAATGATATCCTGCATGCCACGAGCATGTCTCCAGAGTTCCGAAGTCTGCTGGAGTGATCGGATACTAGTGGTAAGAACATTACACAGGTCCTTTTGCATGGTTGCTGTTTGGCGACGACCGAGAAGATTCAGGATCTTTGGCAACAGCCACAGGAAAAGAGGCAGATTATCTCCATCACTTCCAATACCTTTGAAGAGTAGTACTCCTGGTATTTTGTCAATGGTGTAGCTGATAACAGTCAGACTGTCTTTAGCTTGCTGTGTCAGAGTATCAGGAGCGAAAGGATTGTCTTTGACCAATATGTCGAGACCAGCTTCAACGACGACGGAGATAAGCTGTGCATTCGTTTCCAGAGAGGCCTCCTCGGCCATAGGATTACGAAGGTACTCTTGGAGAAGCTGGCCGAAGAGAGCATCGTTTTCGGGCTCTTGACGCGCAACATTATTGGACCGGATGTGGTTGTGAACAATTTGAGCGGCTATAGTGGACGGCGGAGGCAGGTGATTTCCATTTGTGGCACCAAGCTGAGTCGACAGCTGACCTCCACCCCTCCTCGCCATGGTCGTCAAATGGTGATGTTCATAAAGGTGAAGTCGATGGTCGGGAGAAGATTTCGAGGGACGCGTTTCGAGGTCGACACGAGCTCATGTGACCAGTTTTGAGCTTTGACTCCGAGTCCTTGACCATCCGCTCGTAGCTAAGACCTTCGATGACAAACATACATACACGCATATATACAACTACGGAATTCACCTTGCGGGTGACAGAATACCTGGAGAAGAATAGAACTGTTCAGTCAACAGCAACGATACCCACCATGGGCGGACCGAAATTCCAATCAAAACCTTTCAAGCAACACCTCGGGTCGCAATCAAAGGGTGCCGTTTTATACCGATCCGCTGTGCAAAAACACCCATTCCTCCTCTTCGGCCTTCCCTTTATCTCCATCATGGTTGCTGGCAGCTTCTTCCTGACCCCAGCGACCGCCCTGCGATACGAACGACACGACAAAAAAGTACGGCAGATGACACAGCACGAGGCATTGAGTATGGGGACAAATAAGAGAAAGGTTGATCCCAAGGAGGAATACTATGTAAGTGCTCAACAGGTGACTTGCAGCGAACTGGATGCTGATGTGGTAACCAGCGGCTGGCAGCCAAGGACATTGACAACTGGGAACAAAGGCGGGTGGAGAGATTACCAGGCGAACCTGATGGCATACTGGAATAGCTTGCCTCAGCTCAGAACAGTCGAAGGAGAATCGGCTCTTGTTATCATGCTGCGTTACAGCGGCTGCTTATCATGGCTGCTCACTGTGTAGGTCCGCCCAACGCTGTCTTCACTTGTCATTTACGCGCCCCCTCTGTCTGCATTTGTGCAATGTCGCGTCAAAAAGTTTGTGGCTAACACGGACTCTAGTCACAGGTCTATACCACGCTGCTTCTCAGGTGTTGGTCTTTCGTAACACCCACATACAGCGGTCGTATATGAATATGGAACATTCTCCGTGTGCGAGAATAATGAAACAAAATCTTACGAAACAGCAATAGCTATGATCGTCAACAAGGCAACTACCAAAACTGAAAGACAACAAGCATGTGTTCTGACGACCTCAGAGGCGACGCCGGAGCGTCGGCGGCTGGTACCTGCGATCGTATCAAGTCTAGATTTCCTCGACTCGCCCCTAACCATGTCTTTGATCGGTCAAGCATCAAATCTAGACTCACAGCGCCAAATACCAACAGCAACTACTGACCTATGGATTCACATAGCATCATCATATTTCCTGCACCACTCGAATGCTCACCTGCTTCTTTCTTTGACTCCCGTTGCAGAGGATCATGGCACAACAACCTTCGCCGTCGTCCGCAACATCCCCACCGCAAACAATGCAAGCGTGATGAGGATACTGCTTCTCATCACCTGTGTAGCACACGGTCCCTACTGGGACCAAATCTTTGAGGGTCTACATCTTCCCGAACGAACCTTCGACTTGCACCTGAGGAATTACATACTGGACAATTTTGGTGAGGTGGATGTAAACTGGATACTGGCCAACGCAACAGTGGCAGAGATCAGGAGTATACACGTTTCTCAGCGAGGCTCTTGCAGCTTAATACATGTGTCAGACAGATGTGACCTGGTACTTTCGAAAGAGCGAGACTTGGTAGGCGATTGGCTTCAAGGATTGGCAAGAATAGCTACTCAACCGGTCTAACAAGTTGTTCTGGCCATATGTCCGATGCTCGACTAGGTGTGCGAAACTCATCACAATTGTAAGAAGTGTAAGTTGCTGCAGCGATAAACAAATCAGGGTCGGGATTGTCAGGACCGCGACGAAGTGGTCGCTTTTGCGCCTTATCCTTTAGCCATCAGATGCCCGACTGGCGTTAGCGAGACATGCCGCATTCAATTTGTATGGAGCACTTACTGCCATCCCCATGCGATTCATGGAACGAGGTTCTGCAGCCAGTTCTTGAAGACGCTTCCATACTCTCTTGGTCACCTCTTTTAGTTAATAACACTGCAAAAATCTCAATTTCAGTTCAAGGTCTTTATCTTAAAAATGTAGTTCAAAATCGTAGCATCCAATAGCTAGTCAGAACGTGATCGATAGCTTATCGATTGACCACCCCCTTCCCCAAAAATTCTATGCACTTTCCGTTCCGTATAGCACAAACTCTCCCCTTCCCTGGGCCTATGTCTGCTTCAACCGGACAAAAAGAAACTTTCAATTCTGAAGTGCCTCCAGACGGAGTTGAACCGTCGACCTCGGCATCGCAGTAGGAGTACTAGTGCCGCGCTCTACCAACTGAGCTATAGAGGCTGAAGTGACCAAATTCGTGTTTGGATGCCCAACGACACCAGTTTGCCGGTTAATATACGTGGTCACTTTTCTTCCCAGAGCAGGTATCAGGAGATCCCGCAATTCAACCTGGTTATGGCATGCGATGTTTCTGTAGGACCTTTTTCGCCTTTTCTCGACATTGATGTCGATTCTTGCATTTGAAGGCGGACGTTTGGGATGGAGAAGTTGTACAGTTTTAGAGTAAGTTTCCTTGTGGCGAGATGAATTCTCTGAATTGATTGATCCTCTCGGGCTGCAGAGGTTTCTAGTAAGATATTATCTGAGAATGCAAGCCAGACAGAGCACTTATTGTTGCTATTTCTCTGTTCCTCATGTTATATAGAATTAATTTCAGGCATAATCCTCCAGCCATCAGTTCATGTAATGCCTTCATCATTCCCAACTTGTCCTATCTGCTAGTCCAGATAAGATTATATCAGAAGTGTATCAAACCTAGACACTTCTCACGTAAACGAATATGTCGAAAATCTCATCTCTCACCTCACCTACAAAGCCTCCCATTTCTGCCCTCCCATGGCGCACAAACGGTTAAACAGCTCGTCTCTGAGAGCCATAGCAGTCACAACCCACCTCGTTCCCCTCCGATCGACAATTTCAAGGCCATCTTGCACCTCTCTGCCCATCGCCCAACCAACAACGAGCTTCGCCTTCCAGCCATACCCACCAAGTTTCTTCAACTCCCGGATGTCGCCTACAGGAATAGACCACGCGGGTTTCAGATCGCTTTCACGGTCCAAAGTGCCGATTTTTTCAATTTTGCTGTCCGTGGAAAAGGCAACGCAGGGAATGGTGGCCTTTGTGGTGATGTAAACATGACCTTTTTGGCCATGGTAGCGAGATTTGAATTCAACAGGTCCAGAGGTAAGATCGGCACCCGTCTTCGGAACAACACCAAGACGATTTTTTGCCGGGGTAGAACCGGCTTTGGCTTTAAGGGTGTCGGCACCGATTGCAGTTTGGACAGTGGCTTTCGTGCTACCCTTGAAAAATGCAAGAATACGACTGCCCTTCTTACCATGCTTGTGCTCTTTCGACGCGTCAATATCGTTCCCTGCTGTTTCATGCTTGACGTTTGGATCGTTAGCCATGGCTACGTCCAATTCTTCTTTGGTCGCATTCAATGGCCAATCCGCACCGGTGGCGCGAAGGTGCTCATCTGTGATTTCAGCAGTCTGCTCTGGTGGTGCAGTGCTCGCACAGGGAGCCGGAGGTAACGGAGCCTTATTAGCCTCACCAATACGGAGAAGTGTAATTGTCAGTTGCATGTTTGTTGGCACGCCTTTGAGGATGGTGTTGCGAATTTCCAGTAATTTCTGCCAGTGCGGAAATTCGCGGTTCAACATTTTCAGACCTGGCTGGATGATCGGGTCACCAAAAAAGCCGAATCCAGCGCCAAAGGTGACGCCCTTGATGAACATGTATGAGGTGACGAAAATCGATATCAAGAGGACGGGAACAACAAGACCAGCTAGACGTAAACGGACGGTGTTTTGTGGAAAGGGAGGCGTTGGAGACAGTGCATTCGCAAATCGTTCCCATCCATCAGCAACGTCCGCGAGACCATGCATGATGGGCCGCATCTTTGACCACATGGCATTCTCCATTGGTACCTTGGTCTTGTCATGCGTTGCATTCGGCTTCCCACCAGCCGCAGTCTCTTTGGCATTCGCAGCTGAAAGTGCAACAGCAGTTGGGTCAGGGACAGAATCAGACGGAGTTCCTTCCTCATCTTGGTTGGGCTCAGCTTGTGGATGTTTGCCGGTAGCACTGCTAAGCGCCACGGATGCGATGCCTGTAACAAAATTGCTAGCCTCCGCCTCAACAGCTTCACCCTTATGGTTCTCTGGAGCACCGGTTGCGCTATCGTGGCTTCCCAGAACTCCTGATTTGGGCTTCTGTACTCCTCCAGTAGAGCTGTTGACGAGTGAGAGAGGAGCGGGAGGAAAGGCGATCTCCCGAAATTTGGGGGAAACGATTAGGGCGATCAGGAAGGATGCGAACAGGGGGACGATAAAGTCGAAGATCCACGCGATGGAATATGCCTGCATTCTTGTCAGCCTTATTGCACAACGAGCTTATTATAGCAAGTAAACCGCCATCTTTAGTGCCAGATGGCAAGCTTCCAATCTGTAGAGAAACTTACCGCACAGAAATAGGCTGTCCGTCGTTTCTCTCTCCACGAACGGAGACGAGCAATGTGCTTGCCAAATCCCATGAGCCCAATTAAGACAGTCATGTATAGTCGCTCCATGTTAGCTCGAAGCTTATCAGGACTAAACTCTTCCTCGTCTGCTATGTTCAGGTCGAGGCCGCCAGGGACTGGATGAGCGATCTCTTTGAAATGATACGCTTGCTGTACTCGGTCAGTCGATTGGGACAGATTGGACTGCACATCCGAAGAAGCTCACTTTGTTGAAGCGCCGCAACAGTATCCATAGGTCTTCATTGGGTAGCCCTCCTACCAAAGGGTTTGCTATTTCCTGTGCACTCTCATTCCACCCCAAATCAACTACCTCTTCAGCATGTTCCTTTTGTGCAGCCCCAGCGGCATCAGGATCGGCCACAGCCTCAGCAGCAAGAGCATGACTAATCGTAGGCGTGTCTGTGGTATCTGTCGAAACCTTTGTCTTCTCTGGGTCGGTGATTGCTGCAGTTTCGTGGGGAATTGGGAGCAAATCCTGATAGGATACTTCACCTTTGTCAGTCATGACTAGGGTAGATAATTAGGGTGTGCAGATTTGGTGACAAAAGGAATTTGGATAGTTGTACTTGGATGGCGAATGGGAATGTTGTTTGCCCAAGATGCGATTTGGAACTGGTGATCGTTATGACGAAAGTGGCTGCGCGGTCTAGCGGCAAGGCTGAGATTCTGAGGTGCCCTCGGGAATCACGATACAATACTCTTTTGGATCTAAACGATTCTTTCTGAAAACCGATATACATACAATTCTAGCGATATTTTTTTCTTGATGTTGCCAATTTCTCTGGGTATCGATCAACCTCAAATTGTAGTTGACTATACCGATTCCATTGGCCCGAAAGCCAATGAATTGATGTGGCCATCGTACTGCGCCACGAATGAAATCGAAATATCCGCTCCCACTGCCTCGTTCTTGTTATTTTTGAGGCCAAAAGAAACAGTTAAGTTCTCCTCGGCCTGTCTTGTCGAAGCGCTGCACTTGCTCGACATGAAGAATTACGTAGGTACCGTTGTGCGGTGTTCACGTATGATTAGAAACATAGCCTACCATCTCGATGCTGGACCAAAGAATTGCTCATGGCCATCGCTTGAATATACATGGATAACCTGCAGTGCAGTGGCTCTTCAACATATCGATGAACGCCATATCAACCGGTGATTTGTAAATAGCCGTAGCCTCACCATAAGAACCTTAAGAAATCAGACAACGCAGGCGTTTTGGCCAAAATTGCATTTTTAGCAGACGGAGCGTATTGCTCAGATCTTTGCCCTAATTAGAGTCAGCCCCACTCGTCATTGCTTTCGCGGATACGATGGTGACTCAAAGATCGATTTGGGCAGGAAGGTACAGCATATGGAATGAAATGTTTTGCTGCGAGGTTGAATAAGAGCATTGAGGTTCCATGGACTGAGGGACCTTTTAGACATAGTTTTGCGGGTGAGAGAAAACATGTAAGCTCAAATGTAGTCAGGATCCAAAGCTCAAAGCGTCGCATCTAAGGCCTGACTTTGAAACCTAAAGAAGTGGGAATTTCGATCTTGCTACAGGTGACCAGTATTGAAGTCGAAAAGGGTATCATGATCCGCCTTGATTAACCAAATATGCCTTTTCGCAATGCACCTCTCTTTGGCGATCATCTCTTGTTCCCGTTGACTTATCAACACCTATGACTCCATCCTTTGCTACAACTAGTCCATTCATAAACCCAAGAGCAGACAATCCAGTACATTTTGACCTTTGCATGCATCGACTGCCTTTCTCTCTTGGCTAACGATTCGCGAGTCCGCGGTGAATGTCTTTATCGGCAGGGTTATAACGCAGTAGTTTCTCGATGAGGTCGACGTGGGTCATCATCATGCGACGGCAGCAGTAGCGATTGAGCCCGAGGTCGTCCATGGCCTGACTATATGGAGGGTCAATTATTCGTCCTCTGGTGATGTCTGTGCAAGCGCATACCCGTCATCCACATCGCCCTCGATCAGATCGAGGTAGCGTTCCCAGAGGTCACCGACGACCTGGAAAAGTTAGTGAGGGTGCTTGGAGCAGGAGACGATGTCGTACCTTGCCACAGGAGAAGCAGCGGACTGGAATAATCATTTCGGCGCGAGTTGGGTCTGGCTGTAGTTGTTTGACAGGAAATGGCGATCGAAAGTGAATGAACGCGGAACTTGTCGATGTACAGACGGGACTCCGCGATGTCTTACGTAATCCACGAGAAAAGTTCCAACACTCTTTGTATTCAACTTTGACTTGGTGTCGGCGACGCACCAGTACCCGATCTCTACCAATTGCACGCGAATACACAATGTCGCGCATTACTACAGTAAAAGAAGGGAAGCGGAAGCGTCACTCGATCGACACTCCCTCACAGTCCCAGCAATCCAAAAGACTGAAAAGTCATGATGCAGAGCCAACGCCTGAGTCCAGCTCCAAACCAAAGGCCAAGCAGACACGAGCTGCTCCTCAACCTATCTCAAACAATTCTCTTACGAAAGATGCTCAGAAGCAGATAGCTATGGATTCTTCAGTAAAGCCTTTCCCGAATCCTCAAAATAAAGGTCAGATCAATGCCAACCAGGCCTGGAAGAAACAGAACGAATATCGCAAAATGCATGCTCGCACGCAAGCCAATCAGGAGGAGAAGGACGAGTCTACTCTTGAGGTAGAGGGCGCCGTGCCAGCCACTGAGAATGCCGAAGAGAAGAAGCAGAAGGCACACAGGCGCAAGAAGAAGACTGATGCTGTAAATGTCGGGTT